GTTTGCGTGGTTACCGTTGCAAAGTTCACAAGCTGTTGCTAGAGACGGGTGCAAACCAATGAACCAGTCATGGAGATGTTCCGTTTCGGAATTGGATGAACAAACCTCGCACAATAACTGGCTTGAATATTCTTATCATTATGGTCATTCCTTGGAGTTAAAAAAGGATGTGACGTGAATAATGATACTAAATCTGGGTTGAAGCGGAGGAAGTCATGAGTCATCAATGTTTCAGGAACAAGGGATTATGTAATGTATACATGTGCAAACATACAGTGGCTACATATGTAATGATCTATCATAACCGAACTATCGTGCAATGTTTCAGAAGCCGCTGAAGAACGCTTATGAATGATGAGAGTCCACATTCCAAGCATTGTTTCTATTTGTCAAACGGACCTGCAAAGGAAGGTGCCAAACATTGATTGTACCGGCCAACAAAATATCGGAAACGGCAACAAATAAATTTCAACACCTCATTGACATCAAGCACATCCCATCGACAACAAAGTAGAAAACCCCACGAAAGGGAATCACAAGCATTGCGGAAGACCTAAATAAACACAACAAGCGCTTCCCTGAATTCCACTTCCACTTCCTCGAGGAAAGGGCGTCGATTGAGCAGTATGGCTCCTGCTTACAGGTTCATCACACTGCCCCTCTTTAAGGTGCCCTCACAAGTGGTACCTCAGGCAGGCCGGGGGTCTGTCAGCGCGCCTGTCGAGCTGGATCTTGCACCAGAGAGCCATGACCAGGCTCCAGAAGGGGAAGAGCAGCACTGAAGCCACCAGAACGATCCAAACCTCCAAGGAGCTCAACAAATGGCTGTGGGTCAAAACCAATGGTACCATTTTGGGGTAGGTGCACCACCCATGTTGGTCTATTTTAGTGGGGATTGGGATGTTCACTGGGGGTACGATTTGGATTTTGACCCGTACCCAAACTGCTGGCTGATCGGAAGGCTCCACGCCGGTGGCGAGGGAAATATGGAAGCGCAACCTCCAGCGTCAATGGCGCAACGCTTCGTTTGAGGGAAGAATGGCATACCAATGGCTATGTCACGAGAGCGTGTCGTTTTCCTAAACTCATGAGGCGTTGTCAAGAAAAGTGCTCCATCCACGCATAGCCAAGGGAGCCGTGCAGCATCAGCAATCCACACTTGCTTCCAGAAGTACGTGCTGCTCATGCTAGATTCGTAGCTATACTTTTCAAGTGGCCACTTCCCTCTAACAATCAAGGCCGCCCTCCCTAGTTGTAAACCATGTTTTCCCCAAGCCCGATTTTATCAATTCACAACTTGAATTGACTCATACTGAGCCAAATCAAAGTTCAAAACCGCCAGAACGCCCCGCAAGGTCCAACTGCGGTCATACTAGGCCCACCCGAAGCCACTTTCAAAGCAAGTCCAAACATCCAAACCAAAGACGAAAAAACAAATCAAGTGCGTCATTGACCCTAATCGAACCCCATTACTTGCGAGAATGCACGCTGGCTGGAAGGATGTCTTCCTTTTGGCGGACCTCCCTACTACCTACATTTCCGAGGTACCCAGTTCTTCCTCCCAAATGACAAAAGCCTAGTTTCGTTGCTTTGTTCAATCATTGTCAAACACCAACTCAAGCCCGAATGGTCCAACATGGCAAACGCAAACGCGCACAGCATTTAAACGTCAATAGAATCATAGCTGAGGTCCAAAATGAGCAACCCATGCCGAACGTGGTGTAAACTGGAGGTCAGCTAGCTGAGCTTCCCATGTTGCCCCACATCTTCCATTTCAGCCACCGCCACATAAGCGATAGCGGGGTTCATCACCTCCACACAATCTTCGCACTCCTCCTCCGTCTTGAGGACAAAGGGGTCAGAAAACCTGGGCGAGCGATATTCCCAACAGCTGGTGGCGAGCTTGAGTTCCGTCTCGTGCTTTGTGTTGTTTGCGATGATTGCTGTGCTTGTGATTGCGCTTGTTGTGTGTCTCATGTTGGTTGTTTCTGTTGTGCTGTCCTTTGCTGGGCGCCCCCTGTTTGCGCGCTTGGTTGTAGAGTGCGCCGTTATATGCCGTTGTGTCTTGCTTGGAGCTTCGTGAAGTTTGCGGTGTGTTGTGGGTTCAACTGTCCGTTTGTCGTGTCTTGCTTGCGTGTTTGCTCAAAGGCCTTCTCTCTTGTTGCGTCCCTCCCTTCTCATGCTCAGAACGCGACTGAAGGCTGCCCAAACATGAACAGGCTTGCCTCTAAGGTACAGGCATCGCTTTCCCAAGAACTTACAAAAGTGGGTCTTGTTGGGATTGAGCTTTGTTGAGTTTTGAGTTGGCTTGGGTGTGATCTGTGCCATGTGCGGGGCTGTTCTAGCAAAGGCACATTGAAGTTGCGCTCGGTGAGTTGTTTAGCTGGTTGGGATTGGCTCTTGCAATTGAGCCTTTGGAAGCACAAAGCGCGCAATGCGGGCGCCTGCTCCCTGAAGGACAAGCGGCTGCAAGGTCGCAAGGCCAAAGGTGAACAGCAAAGTTGTGACCACCAGCAGGGTATCCACTTGCGCTGTGTGGTTTGCATAGTGATCCCGGATATCCTGGCACAAGCCTCAAAATATTGGGGGCCGTGAGAAGAGTGTGCTGCGACTGGCTCAACCCTCTGTCTGCCCCCACCACGCACACGCACAAACAAAAAAACAAAACAAAACAGAGAAACCAGATTAACAAAAAGAAGACGAAGGCTTGTGCATCCCGGGTATATGCTTCATGCATGACATGACGTGACAGGCCGCGTTCACTATGAAGGAAGGATCAATGCCCCGCATCACGCTCGGGGTTGTTGAGGGCGCTTGATATGCTGACGGAAGCAGTACTGGATTGGCCCTGCTGGACTTGCATAGAACGAAGCTAACCCGATGGCGTGCGCCAGCAAGCAATACTTTTTACGAAGCAAATGCAAAGAACATATTGGATTGGCGACTGAGGCGAACATGCAGCGATCAGCGGCCTGCACCACTGTTTAAATCAGGTGCAACTGTGTGAACAACAGTTGCATCTAGTTGGCTGGCAAATACCAGGAAAAGTGAGACGGAATGTGTGAAAGCCTCAAACACTTGTAAGCTAGCCGCGAGCAGACCAGTACGGCAAACCAGCTGCCGAACCACAGTGAAACACGATTGTGCTGCTTTGCCCTGCGATATCGCCTCATGATAATGCATGCCTACATTCTACATGAATGTCATATTATGGTTGGTACTGCATAAGAACTAGCAGCCGCGCAACACAAAATTAGACGTTGCCAGCCAAGCTGGCCTTTGATAAGGCAGAACTATTTCATTTGGACCAAAAAAGCGCCTTCGTCAACGAACATGCAACCCAAGCCCCGCCAAGTCTGGGACTTCTCGTCCCGTCCTCCTTGAGGGCGGCGATCAAATCCAGGCGCAGTGCCATGGCATCTTGCCGAAACGCCGCCCTGGCCCATCTCACGTTCTCCTGAGAACATGGCACCCGTCCACTGGCCTCCGACCCGAGCCGGAGGCCTGCTGGGCAAAGAGACCCGAGAAAACAAACCCACTCAGCGCCCGAGAAATATCGAGAAATGCAGTCAACCAACATCGCCCCGGAACATCTGGCTCTGAACAAGAGTTTCGAATGTGATCTTGCTTTTGCACTGGCATGCCTCACTGTCCGCCAGCACGCAACCTACGCACTCTTCAGTCTGCGACATGTCGAACTTGGGGCTTGGGTTGAGTCCCAGGTGGCAGTTCATGCTCTCAACTAACTCCCGCCCAGCCAGCTCGCCAAGGCTCTTTCTGGTAGCTATGCGACTGACCCAGTTCTGCAAACTGCCCAACGTTGGCCTCAGCTCCATGTTCAAACAGCATGCAGCGCATGGCGTGGCAATGCCGCAAAGTAGTCTCTTGCAGAAGGCATGGCCACGAACTTTGGAAACGCTGGTGGCACAGGTTGCAAGTCCGGACCCAGCATCCAAGGAGACTGGGCCTTTGGGTTCTGAAGTAATCATACAAGGAGAGAACCAACAAAAAAACACCTTGGATAATTCGAAACATTGACTCCTACTAAACAGGGCAGTAAACTGAACAAGGCCCTGAAATGCTCAAGGAAATGGCGTTGCCCCATGTCTAAATCAATCTGAGCTGCCAGGTGCCCAATTGCTCCCAGCATGTAGCTGGCTGAAGAGTAGAGCGACATGGGCGAGCTGTGCGAAGCATGCCAAGGCGCAAGAGGTGCGCGATAGACAAAACAAAAGTGATGGCAACTGACCCATCAATCCCTTGTCATAAAACATCATCAACCTGCCTCACGGCGCGAACTCTTTGAGCAAGTCAGTGTGTGTGTGTGTGTGTGTGTCAACCTTTCGCGCTATGGCCTGTAGGAAAAGTCTTCGTGTCAAGCTGGCACGCTGAAATCACTCGTGGGGGATGCTGCAAACATTGTCATCGCCGTTGCTGGTGACAAGGCAGTCTTTCACACAGTCGGCCCTCCTTAGCTGCTGTGCTTCTGAGTCGTGAGTGTCATTCTTGCATCTGCGGCCCATGTTTGCACATTTGTGCTGTGCAACGCCTGGTCCAAAGCTGCTCACAGGGCGATGGAACGAAACATGGCACGGAGACCAAGCAATCGAGCCTCAACATTGATGCTAAGCGAAGTGGCATAAGGCATGATCATGTCTTCTAGGATCTTCTAGCGCTTGCTTTGGCACAACAAGGCCGGTAGGTATCTCGCTGGCATGTTTGCCCCTTGTTGGCCGCGACTGGATGGCGCACACGCACAGACAGACAAATCTCATCTCCTGCTTGTTTTGACTGACACGCTGAACCATCATTCGCTACAACAACTCAAACAACAAGAATACTACCAAAACAAAGTGGCAATAGTAGCCTCATTGTCATTTGAACGGTTGTGCGCTTGCATGTGACCTTGAGAAGCCTTAGCACATGGAGTGATAAGCGGGCCACGCATTATTGCATCAACATGATCCAACATGTCGCGAACGAATCGCTAGGGTCCGCACATAACTATCATCGATCAGCAGCTTCTGGTCCTCTCTGCCTAATGAGCATTGAACATGAGCCTGATCAACTAGCCTTTGCCTAGGGCCTAGGGATCAACACCCGGACGCATGCCCATTATCGCTTGGACACGCTCTGGTGGGATGAATGTGTGTAATGACAACTCTGATCCAAAAAACAATCGTTGATCAGCTTGATTGGCCAAGCCTTCTAGCGAGAACAAGTGTGAGCCCTTTGCCCCCCTCAACCCGCAAGGCACCATGACAGTACCAAGGCCTAGGCTCTTGTCCGGCCGTCGCAGCAGCTTTATCAACCCATGCAGGTCTGCTCGCCTGAGTCGATTTCTCCCTGTTCGCTGATTGCTTCATTCCAACCAGTATGTAAAACTCAAGGACCAAGACAGGCACCACGCTTCCAAGCTGTTGGGAAAGAGGCACGTTCCTAAATGAGCACTGATTTTGAGACAGCAACATGCTGGCGGGAAAGCGTCCCGCGGAATTCGAACAACAAGTGGCCATGCTTCTGCCAGCTAGCTTCTCACAAATCCAAAGGGACAAAACGACAAAACACCCCGTGGCAAGCTGTCGCCGGCTGAGCCCGGCACACCTGACAGGCACAGGACTCATCACGCCTCAAACACGAACACATCGACTGCGCAACCTCTGGATGCATTTGCCAAGCCTCACGCTACCTGCTGTTGCACCAGGCCAGCTTTGCTTCCCGACATGAGGAGTCGCGACGCTCCAAACTTTGCTGTGCAGTCGTCCCACGCGAGCTGCGATGGTTCATCACATGCTTAGCAAGTGGCAATACAGTCCATTGAGCTGGGCTCCCAGCTCGTCGCTGCACAAATCCCGACAGCGAAGGGCAAGGTCAGCCACGAAGGACACAAAGGCAGTCCTTGGCACGTAGCCCCGAACCACACAAGAAAGACACATATCCAGCCTGAGGCAAACTCAAAAAAGGACCAACAAGGGCTGCCTCTCCTGTCCTGTCGTCAAGCTCCCTTCAAGCGGGCCCCAAATAGAGCATGAGCCAATTGACAGAAATGCACTTGGCGCCATTTCACCGGCTACGCTTTGGGTAAGTTAAGATCGAATCATGAATGCGCAAATCCCCACCTCCGATTGCAAAAGTGGGGGCTCCATACTACTTCCCTTCTAACCCCAACAAGCTCCAGGGGAGCAAGTATGAAGAAGGGCGCATTCCCGTCCAATACATTCAAACACACTCAGAGGGTGGATCTCAATAGCAAAGCCAGTCGAATTCATCACATCCAGGGCTGCTGCATGCGCGAAGGATCGATGGCCACATCCCTGCCGAGAGGTATGACTGAAAGGAGGATCGTTGTTTTACTCAGCGCGCCATTGGCAACCGTAAGCTCTCATGCTGGTTTTGCTTTGTGGCGGAGGCTTGTGTTGGTCTCTATTGCTTCTTTATATTGCTTCCTACTATCCATTATAATACAACGATTTCATGGTGCTATTTGGCTTCAGGCCTGATACTTTGAAGACGAAACAAGTGTTGGCCTTGCGTGTCTTGCACATGCTGCCACCTGCCAGACTCGGCCTGTACTATACTCAGCCAATGTAGTGCTCCCCTTTCTCGATGCTCTCAAACTCTGGATCGCCCAGCATTTGAAGAGCATTGCAAAATCTTGCTTCGACAGCTCTTCTGTTCGACATGCCATGTCCAACCCTCGGGAGATTGTGGTGGGAGGGTGGGGAAATGGTGGACAGCTGACAGCGTGCTTGTTGGACGTAAAAGGTGGTGCATCAATGTTGTTAATCATGCCTGCACATCTCGGTGTCAACCTTGTTTGGACATCAAGCATCATCAAGCAAGACGCTTGGAGAGGCCAGCTGGGTGGTGAAAAGAAACATCTGAGCGTGCCACCCAACAGTTCTTGTGGCGAACTCGCGATGCGAAAATCAAGACACAAGGCCTGTGAATTACAGAGATTTGAGCAGTGTCCAACTTGCTAACATCAATGATAATGGTTTACATAATTCTAGCGTCTGCGCGTGGGCCCCACGGGACCTCAAAATACAAACATCACTTGAGAGCCACCTGGCAAGGTGGATGCCAAAAGAAAGCTACAGCACTTCTTCCTACGCACACGATTTCAAGCGTGTCAAGGAACTCACGACTCGCAGCAGCCGCAGGAAGTCGTCACGCCATCCAAATTGAGAACTTTGTTCGAATTGATGCCAACAACCCTGTTGCCAACTGTCCAGGCCACGTTCGTAAAGCGCTTGCTCTGCGAACCGAAAGGTTTGTTTGCAACCACGTCCCCTTCACAAGCCTTTCTTTGGACAAAAAGTTCAGCTCAAGTTCAAAGCATAACTTCTTGCGCGGACTTTCCCATTGCCATCTTTGCTGAAATTCACCTTGCCTGAGACCAAGGAGCCCCGTGAGATGGCTATGGGTCAAACATAAGTAAACATGGAACCCTGCTAAATGGAAACATGGACCAAAACCTGCGTGCAAATGTTGACCCATGCCCAGATGCCTCCCCCGCTTCCCATTCGATCCATGCCGGGACCACTTCTCCAGCATGGCCGTGGCGCGGAACCAGCGCTGCGGGGTGCTGCTGCGCACAGGCGTCAGCTTCAGCCTGGCCAAGCACAACGTGCGCGCGGGCAAGGCGCTTGGAGCCTCCCTGGTAGCTGAGTTACCCCCCACCCCGTTAACTGATGTTGACCCCCCTGCTAAAAGTTTGACTTGTTGGGGTTTAGTGGAAAACCCCTTGATTTCCCTCAAAAGTTAAAGTCTGAAGATCAAACACAATAGCAGTCAAGTTAAGGGGGGCGGCGTCTGAGGTTTCTTCTCTGTGAATCGCGTGACACGTTGGCTTGGCAAATTCTTGACCTGGGCACATCTTCCACCCCTACATACTCCTACCTTTCCGTATGCGTAGACCCGCCCGTCCTCCGCAGCCAAGCGAAGAATAGCCGCAGCAAAGCCATAGGCTCCGAGCAATGGCCGCCGTCAAAGTAGCGCCAGGCTGGCAGGTGACACGGAGGGTGCACGCGACTTAAGTCAGGGTCTACTGTTCTTGCCCCGAGTGGGGAGTGGGGTAAAAGGCAAAATGAAATCCCGACTGTGAGGCAAATTGGCAAATTTGCAGAGGGCTCCGAGACCATTGCAAATTTCCAGGGACTATTAAAGGCAGCCCTCTTCATGATTGCATTTTTCAATGTCGACTACACAGTGCGCACCATACACGACACAAACACACACAATACACGACACACGACAAATGACACACGACACACCACACACCACACATGACAACACGCGCGCACACCCTGCACAGAGACGAACAAGCACGTGGTCACAAGTTCACGAAGGAAGGTGCCGCGTCATTTGCAAAACCCAGCGCGCATGCTTGCAGTATGGGGCCTAGGTGTTGACAAGGCAGTTCACCTTGATCCTGGAAAATTGTCACACAAAATGAGGTCGGACTGATGCCCCCTGCAAAGGTTGCCAGCGCCAGCCTTCTGCGGTATCCCCCAAATGCCTGGGTCGAGTCTGACAGTTCAAACCGACAGCCAAGTCCCAGCCGAGTCCAACATTCACCCCCTTCCAAATCGGATGGTCGCCAGAATAAGTTTCTTTTGTAGGGGTCCCAAAGTTCCCGCTCGGCACAAGCATTCTTGTCTTTTGCTGGTTCTTTGGCAGCTATCACCGCAGGACTAGTTCGGAGTACTTCCGTTGATGAGATAGCCCCATTTCTGCCTGGACCTGTGCTTGCCGACGCTCAATAAACCTTGAAGGTGCTGGACGGGCTGCTCACAAAGGTTAACTGTTCAACGTCACGTTCTGCCAACAGCAAGGACTCCACCAGTGTCCAGCAGCACGTTTCTGCCAGGCTTTCGATCTTTGTCCAACGATGCCGAATGTAACATGACCGGAAAGCTCGATGTGTGGGGGGATGGCAATGGCTTCGACTTTGGGAGCCTATGAGCAAAGACCGTTTAAGCTCCCCGTTTGGACTGGACGGAGGAACAACTTTCTTACATCCCAAAGGTGAAAGGGATTTGCGAAAACGATTGAAACCGCAAATCGCAAGCCAGTGTGGTTTACCCCTCCCCCCCACTCGCCCTGCCAGACCCAACGAGGAGACGATGGACATACGGGCTTCAAACTTCGGACCACAACCGGCAAAAAACAACAAACAACCTGGCAAAAAAGAAGAAAGAAACCCCCAATCATCCAATCTCGCAAAACGGGCCGCCTCTTAGAAGTTAGAACCCCCCAGTAGCTTTCAGCCACCTGAGGCTTTGGCTTGGTGAACTCCTCCGGGTCCTGGAAGCCCAGCCTGAAAGCAAGAGACGCATGGAACACCCGGACGGACACACGGGGCAAAGCAAAACCGACTTCACCAAAACCCATGTGATTCTCTTTCTGTGGAGGGCAATGTGCTTTTTTTGGTTTGTTCTTTGATAATAAACAGAAAAACGTAAATCTTTAAAACACAAAATGATCCAGAATCTTGACCCACATGTCGCGTTGATGACAGAGGTGACATTATTAGTCGAAAACTGAGGTGGACAACAAGGGCAAGGAAACCGCTGCAACACATTTGCGGGAGAGTCTCCGAAAAAGACCCACCAAAAGGAGAGTCCTCTACAAAGGGCTTCTGCAACTACGAAGGGGACCAACAACGAACGGTTGAGTCTAGATTTAAGGCAACACCACAGCCATGCGGTTGAACTGCTGCTTCCGTTGCCTCAACCGGACAGCAGCCCCAAAGCAAATCTTCAACAACTACCATGTACTATTGTGACCTCTCCAACAACCTTCCGCTCCCAGCAAGAATACATGTCCACTCTCTTTGTATACAAGTAAGCTACCTACTTGTGGCATGGGCAAGCCATGCAAATCCTTGGAAAGTGCTTGTGGCCAGCCTGGAAGGGTTCGAAAAAGGCGATGCAGTGCTGCAAGCAGCAGCCTTGGAACTGAGGCCCGGGCTCAGTTGAGCAAACCATGCGTGCTGAAGGGTCTGGTGAACAAACTATAATGTGTTTGGCAAAAAGGCTTGGGGTCCCGAATTGAGGAACACTGCTTGGGGATCTTAGACACATATTTCTGGCAATATCTCGGCACACATCCTTGGATTTCAGCTTGTCATATACTTGCTGTGCTCTTTGTTGCATCTGTTTTGCGGTCCCATGTCTGGTCGTGGAACCCTCCCTTCCCAAGCTCCTGGCCATAACCACTGCTTCGGGAGCGCAGCCGAAAAGGCACCCCAGCCACACCTGACAGAGCTTCGGGCGGATGGGAGAGGAACACGATGAATAGTAGCCACTGGCTGAACGAAGGCAGGATATCATTTCACCATCTCCCATGTCGTGGTTCAACGCTTCAATGACATGCATTGTTCACTTCGCACTGTCAAACCGAAACAGGCAAGGTGTACCAGCAAGCATCACAACCAAAAACACATGACGGGTTAGCGATGATGTGGGTCAAATCTGCTTAGCCTACTGATTTCTCGTTGAACTTTCTTGGCATGTGGCACATGCTTGGATCCAGGTCATGCAATAGAGTTGGCCCTCATCAATCTTTGGAAAGGCCTTTCACAATAGCAAGCTGTGACTGCGTTAATTGTCTAAGACCGATCAACACAGATTCACACTATCACATCACATCATGGTCTGAGCGGCACGTCCGCTGACTCTATGCAGGTGATACAGCACATCCAGACAAGCAACTGACGTCTGCGGGTTTCCTGGGCCCCCGCCAAGCGACACAGCTGGATGTCGATGGGCAAAAAGAGCGCCAAGCGCCCAAGCACGGAGACCTTCCAAACTCAGGCCAATACGATCCGTCTGAGATGCAAGCACTGCGAAGCTTCACTGCTACAGCCCCACGATTCCAAATGGAAGCTTTCCACAATTTCATGGCACATCGCGCAATCAATCCATGGCACACTTGGACTCTGAAGAAAAATGAGGGGTAACATATTGGCCAACCCGAAGGACACCTGCCGGCCTTGGCTGTAGGCGCCTCCTCTGTGAGGACCTTAGACAGTGCACGCAAACGAGCCCAAGTTGGACTGACCGCGGCTCGCGGTCTGTCCAAATTACATGCTTGAAGCTGTCCAAGCCGAGGGCGCTTGGGCAAGTTTCCTTACTTCCTCCTGCTTGCAATAGTGACGACAAGTGCGTCTTTTGCCGGCTTATCCAGCTTGTCACTACAGCTGCAAGCCCAAACACTGTCCAGCCCTCAATTGCCAAGTGAAGCTGAGGCGGCTGCTGCCGACTGAGCCAACTGGCAAACGGCTGCATCGATTGCCTGCAAGCAAATTCATCACATATCGAACCTCTGATTAAAGACACCCGGTTTTCCCCTGTCGACTGCCAGCTAATACTACTGTCAAGGCACCCACAAGGTTTGGCCACAAGACCCTCTTATTTGTTTGTTTGGGGGGGGGGCACCTCCATACACCCCCCTGCATTAACAATGTCCCTTTCCGGCCAGCAAACTAAAGAACAAATCACAAAATGAAATTATAATTGTCAAAGCTGTTGCCAATACTTTTGCCCCATGCTAACTCGCTTCATAGTCTCAAGGGTTGACATTCCAGAAATAAAAGAACGGTTGACCACCTCGTAAAGGCTACCCCCTTTACCACCCCCCCCGTTCGAATAACACAAAACCTCTCTGATTAGGGAAAATGCAATTTCCTTCTACTTTCCTATTGAGCACTATTGGCCCGACAGGGGTCTACACAGGAGAGGACTGGAGAGGACTGGCTGGGTGCAGACTAATCCGAGGCAAGGGCAACCCTCCAACATCTGGTTTTCCAAAACCTTGTCCCTTTATCCCTCAAGCATGGAAAACCCCCACACCCAACAAAAAGCAAAACTGATCAGCGCACGGCAACTCTCTTGCTGCCATGCTTGGCCGGGTAGAGAGAAAATGGAGAAGGTCAAAAACATATTGGCATGCAGGTGCGATCCCTTCTAGAAATGCTCGCGGCTGAAAAGTTCTTCCGTGAGCATGCCCTCTCCGCAGAACAGCCGCTCCTCACGGATCCCAATGCGGTGAGAGGTTGACTATGGGCTTCAAAAGCAAGGTCGCCGGACCAAACTGCTTCGACAGGGATCTCTATATATAATTTAATTTCCTTTCTATAGGCCTGTTTGCATGCCTGCCTACCTGCCTGTCAAAATGAAAGACTTACCAAGCCATCCGGACAACACAACCTCTCTTCAGCCCGCACTTCTCAGCGAATGCCGGCCTGCAAAAAAAAAGTAAACAACAACAGCCCAGCCATCAGGCGAATGCAAGCGGACTTGCCTTCGATGACGGCGGCGCAAGCAGCTGCTTTAGAAGCTCGCCTGCCGTTGCTGTAATTCGTCGATTCTCGTGTTCCTCCGCCAAGCAAACGCATATCTTATGTTTGCTCCGGTGGGCCATGTAATTGATGTGTTTTCCGTTTTTGGTTTGCGGGCAAACAAAACAAGGATGTACAAAACTTCCGAGGTTGTGAATCAACCAGTCACCCGTGAATAAACACCCGATGTGTTTAAGGTGTTGTGCCAGCAGACTGAGAATCAGCCAGCTCACTGCACTCTATACTCTGCAGCGCCCCCTCCCAACAGGACTCCAACTTCAAAATTGCAAAACGCGGCAAACAAAAAAAAAGAGAAACACCGGCTGCAAAAGAAAGGGGGCAACTCAGCCAACGGGCTTTCACCAGGCCCAGTGACCAAAAGCTCCCTGCCCCACTCACTTTGCCAAGCATAGCTTCCTGAAGCTGGCAACCTTGAAGTATATTCTTGTCAGCCGCTTGCCAAGAAAACAAAATGCCCAGCTTTCAAGGTGTCTTACATGTTCTTTCTTGCAGCTGCACCAAATCATCTCTTTCTCTTTTGTTTCCTTCCCGAGCTCAGCGCCCAGGCAGACAAAGAAACTGTAGAAATACTAAATCCACCGACCTGGGCCAAGGAACCTTAGTCAAGAACCCTCCTTAGCGGGGGACAAATCAAGGGTGGTCATTGGCCGCTTGAGCAGGGTCGACGTGTTCAGTCGAAAGCAAACTGCCCCACACCGCTCAAGCTTCCGCCCTGGACCAAGCAGGGGCCCGGACCCGGTGTGGCAGCTTCCAAGCAAAGCCGCTTGGCAAGAGATTCGTCGTCCTGAACCACCTGGCCCGGCCGCAAGAAAGCATCAAGGTCAAAGCCCAATGCCTTCCCACCATGGCTATGTCCATCGTTTTGACTCTTGCAAAAGCCATCTTTGCGGCAGTCACAAGCCTGTGCAAAATGCACCCAGCAATACAAATGGTGCCTTGTGGTCGTTTCAAATCACGTGCGCAACCGTCGACCCTTGCCTCGCTGAGGCCATCAGCTATGCCCTGGAAGCTACAGCGTCCAAGGTTCTGCTATGTCCAAAAAAGATCAAACTAAAGTGTCTCGCTGCACCCGTATGAGAACACCATGCATCTTCCAGTCAGGATTCTGCATTTCGACAACCAGCCTTCGCTTTCAAGTAGAGCGTGGTCAGTGGAGTTCGCAGAATCTCAGGAGTGTCATACCTCATTCGCCAAGGACTGACAGGGTCTGTCCGCAAAGCACCGTGAAGTCTCAAAAGAGGCAAAGCTCAGCCACGCTTTTCCTGATGCTTTATACGGCAAAAAAGTGCACGGCTTGGTTCGTGCAATTTCTAGCAACTGAATTGCCAGAGACCTATGCAGCTGTGATCAGCTATGCGTCACCCGGTGGGCGATCAACTGCACAAGATCTGCAGAGAAGTTCTGCCCTCTCAGGGACAAGCTGCGGCAGCCAGTGAAGGAACGGCAGTCCCAGCCACCCGTGCTTCCAGGCGTGACTTCCCCTGTCGCCAAAGCGAGTTGCCTCTGCAAGCTATGACAGGCCTCAGGGCTCAATCGGTCGGAGCTCTGGCGAGCTCTGGCTATCAGAGCGGTACCTGCGAACATAGCCCTCGTCGAGCCTGGCCCGTTCATACTTGTCGAACTCGCAGAGCTGAAACTGCACATCGTGCAGTGCAAGTTCTCCCGCAGGGCATACTCCATCAATCAAACGCCTGAGAGCAAACGAAACATAACACACCAACAACAGGCTTGCTCTGCACCGTGCAGCATCGATATATATGTATATATATATATTAATATATATTCTGATACATACCCTGCAGCAACTCGGAACTCCCCTTAAACTCAACCTGTGGCATGTCCAGCACCCTGCCAATCACAAGTGATCCCGTAATACCGTAAGACGTGCCTTGGATTCCAATACTGATGCCTCTGCTCGTAAATGGCCAACAACCTTGGCTGGCAGGCGCATGCTCGTGAGAAACGACACAACAAGCCTCCAACAAATTGACCCGTCCTATTTATGGTTAGCAGCACCCCAAACGAGCATTTTGCACCTGCGCCCATCACTCCCAAGCAACGGTCGCAAGGCACCAGGCACAAGCACGTGCCCTGCCTTCTGCCTGCAACAAGCCGTTTCACCGGCCGAGACACTCCGCCTCAAAGTGCTCACGCGCCATTCGGCTGCTGCTGTAGGCGTTAAACTTGGTGGGCCTGGTGCAGGCCGTCGTACATTCCCCAACAAAAAACAATGAAAAAGGGGCTGAGCAAAATGCGCTATCCGGCCTCTGTTGGTCTTCTGAAAAAAGGAAACAGATGTGAGCAAAGATGGGCAAAAGCGCCTACAAGCAAATGCCATTCGGGAGGGGCTTCGCGAGATACACATGAACATGAAAGCAACTGTGCCCGCGTGCGCGATTGGAGTTTGCATTCAAAGTGCCTACGCGGCATGCATTCGGGTGCTGAATCCCTCCTTTTGCTGCTTGCAAGCCCTAATTCTTCTGAGTCCGCCTGATTCACTAACATATGTTTTGCTGACGAGAGCCCAACCGTGACCCTGAAGACGAGAAGGGGTCAGCCACAAAACTGGGCTACAGTAGCCTACGCTAATGGTAACAGGCTGAAAAAGAACGCCCTGCCAACCTCAACGTTAGCAGGCTGCCAAGCGACAGGTTCCGTGAAACAACAGCTTTAACAGGCCAAAGAACACAGCAGGCGCAGGGAACAGAAAGAAGACACTCAGTTGGCCAAGTTTCTATCAACGGGCAATCTTTGAAGTCGTGTCTACGCGGCTCCTCACCAAAAGATTCCCAGCCTGTCAGAAATTGGCCCCGCGCAGCTCTATGCGTGTGCACAAACCTGCCTAGGTGGCCTGATATGTCCAGTGGCCTGATATGTCCACTCTATGTTTGCTCCTCTGCCAAAGAAACACTCTGCTTACTCTGAAGCCCAGAATGCCTGCCCCCATGCGTCCTTGCCTTCCATGAAGGCGGTTCAGGCTGCGCCGTGCGCCGGGGCCCACAGGGCACCAGTCGTTAAGATCCTTGCACTTGCTGTCCTAAGGTCAAAGCACCAAGGGAGCAAAACCTAGGTCCTCCAGTAGAGAGGCCAGAATAAGGGTACCCTTTTTCTGTAGTCTATTAAGGGTAAAAGGGCACTACTGGAGGACCTAGAACACACATCACCTCTCTGGAAGCATGAAACCGTTTCTGCAGCTTAAAACCCTCGACAAGCCAACGAGCAGTCTGACCCTCCACCAGCCAACAAGCAGTATGGATGCGTACACTCGGACCTGTTCACTACTCAGCGTGCAGGAGTGGACGTGTGTGTGTGTGTGTGCTTTGCTTCTGTTTTCTGATGCCTCTCACAAATGGACGTGCTGGTTCGACCTTCAGCTATGACTTACTGGTATGCTCAATACCTGGCAAGCCCCAAGGCGCGCATGCTGCCGTCAGAGGCCAAGGCTCCCACCGACCAGTCACCTCGTCCCAGTTGCAGAACAGGGGCGTGGCGAGCAAGTCTTGGGTCAGCTCTTTGGCAAGGAAGCCTGATCTTCTCACATGCCCGAAGGCAAAAAGATTCTCCCAAAACGCTGCTCAATCCATTCCTTTTGTGTCTGGGGAAAGTCTATGCTAAGTCAGTCTTGTCAAAAAGTCTCCCTCAACACTTGGACCCATCCCAAAACTTTTCGTTCAACTTTCTTTCTCAGAAATATATCCGGCCAAACAACAAACAATCGGTACTAGAGAGGAACGACCTACCTTCACATGCTTGCGAGACATCTGGGGGGGAGGGCCATGTGGGAGTAGATTTCATGAACATCCAACACACACACACACATGTATATATATATATATGTATGTGTGTTCGACCATGTTGCGAAAAGGCACAACTAGATTGAATGCAACGTGAGACATATCCTCATGCGAGTTGATCAACAACACCATCTACATGCAAACGAAAAACATCTTCTTTGCAGGGAGGCCTGTCACATGGCAGAAACCCAATGGCCTGAAAAACATATCCAACCGTTCTTGTGCCGAAGAGACTTGCGAGCCATGACTCAATTGCAGTCTGCGCTTACTCGGCCTCTCTCAAATGCCCGCAGTGTTGACAATGTGCCTGCCGACCGCCTGAAACTCATTTCTCTTACGGGCCGAGGCCTCCAGCCATGAGACCTATGGCCGTTTCACCCAGGGGCCGCTGGCAAAACGAAGCCTCGTGGAACACGGTCCAGCCTGTGCCGCCGTAATTGGGCACCGCCATGATGGTCTGTATCCTGAATCGGTCACAAACATATGGGCACGGGTCAAAATCCAAATCGTACCCCAGTGAACATCCCAATCCCCACTAAAATAGACTAAAATGGGTGGTGCACCTACCCCAAAATGGTACCATTGGTTTTGACCCACAGCCATATGTTGCATTCCTTCTGACATGGCCTTCCTCTTGCATTGGTCCGCTAAGCTTCTTAAATCGTTGGAAGGGCCTGTCTTTGCTCTGACTCCGATTTCATACCTCAACGTACCTGGCGACCGCTAATGCCCGTGAAACATATGACGTACAATTGACAAGACTCCAGGCAAACGAGTTTGACCTGCTGAGCGAGCACCTGTTGGCAATCAATCTGATGGCATGTCCCTGCTCCGATCTCAGGTTGCTGTCTTTGGTTGGGCTGTTTTGGTGGCACTTGTTGATAGTGTTCGAACCTACTTGGTCCATGCGGCATACAGCCTGGGATTTGCTGATGGGCAGTAGTTTCTCTTTTGCTTGTCGAGCAGCACATGACGCCAAGAGCGGCTTTGCTCAGCCTCGCGGGCCACTTGGAAGCGGTGCTCCCAAATGCCTGAGGCAGTCGAGAGCAAGCGGCCGCACCTCACAGCCTTCACCGGCTAAACCACACACACACGCGCGCACACACACACACACACATCTGCCTCATGGGCGCCCAAAGCACCCGCATCCCAAAGGTTTGCTTGAGTGGATTGCTACAAGCAAAAGGAACAAACAAACAAAGCAAAGCTTACACCAGCTTCGGTCCGCGGGCACACTCCGAACAAACTAACTATACTCAGCTAAGGATTGGGGCTCACTTCCTGGGCGATTCGAAGCCGGGACGCCTTTCATAGATTGGAGCTTTCCAAATCTGCAAGTTCAACCCCGGTCGAGCTCGCGCCTTGAAGGTTTTCGCACACCCGCTCGAACAGCTTCTGAGCATGGGCCTGGGGCCAACGTGACCCCCATGTACCCCCAAGGGTGTAGCCAGAGGTGCACCCCCAGCCACTGGGGAAGGCATACCTCCTCGCTTTTTGCCACGCAACCCTTTCACGTACATCTATTTAACTGGATAGATTTGATAAATTGTTAGATGGATAGATCGATAGGAAAGAAATAAAGACAGATAGATCGATAGGAGAGAAAAACATATAGATCGATAGGAAAGAAAGAAACAAACAGATAGATCGATAGGACCTTAGGAAGGAAAGAAAGACAGAAAGAAAGAAAGAAAGAAAGAAAGAAACAAAAGAAAGACAGAAAGGAGGAAAGGCATAGAGAAGGAAAAGCATAGAGAAAGAAAGGCATAGAGAAGGAAAGGCATAGAGAAGGAAAGGCATAGAGAAGGAAAGGCATAGAGAACGAAAGAAAGAAAGAAAGAAAGCAAGAAAGAAAGAAAGAAAGAAAGACAGAAAGAAAGAAAGAAAGAAAGAATCAAAGAAAGAAATAAAGAACGAAAGAAAGAAAGGCATAGAGAAAGACAGACATACAGAAAGAACACATAATTTCAGGTGTTTGGGGCACGTTTGAAGTGGATAACAACAATCCGTGATCCGTCAGATTTGATTCATGCAACACTTGCAATGGAAGTCCTAGGGAAACAAGCCATTGGACATCTGTGAGCGTCAAAGAGAGAAAGCGAAAGGGCTACAGTGATCAAATCATTTCAAAGCACGTGAGACTATTCACTTCCTGGGGCAAGGAATGATACTGTGGATGGAAGAAATCCGGCACCGAAAAAAATCACTGGAATCATGATTCCCCTGTAATTACCAACCAATGGCTTCCCATGGCTAAGTGGCGAATAGATTTCGCCCATCAGCTCGTGCCTGCCTTGCCCATTGGGTGGCGCTGGAACTTGGCTTCCAGTTGGCGCCAAGCCCGGGGAGGGCAATAAGCCTGGATGCGATCCATCGGCTTGCACCGAA